TGCCCCGCAGGGGAGCACGATCTTTGATGAGAAATCAGCGAAATTTTGAGAATGCTCCACACGGGAGCGCAATTTTTGTCAAAATTTTCTGGACGCTCCGCACAGGAGCACACGCTTCTTCAAACTTTTCAGGATGCTACGCGCGAGAGCGCAATTTTCATCAAAATTATCAGGATGCTCCGCGCGGGAACGCGATCTTGAACGAAACAACGGTGAAATTTTGAAGATTCCCCGCACTAAAGCACAATTTCATTCAAAATTTTCAGGATGCTCCGCACAGGCGCGCGATTTTGTTCAAAATTTCCCGGGTGCTTTGCACGGGAGTGCGATTTTTCTCAAAATTTTCAGGGTGCTCCGCACGGGAGCGTGATTTTCTTCAAAATTTTCAGGATGCTCCGCGCGGGAGCGTGGTTTTGAACCACGAAGTCGACGAAAGCTAGGCTCATTGATTGCCGGGATACTCCCCTCAAGACGGCGATGCTGAACGAAGAAGTACCCCAGTAGTCAATCAGTATAGCTTCAGTCAACTTAGTTGCTCAATTTTTGAACGATGAAGTCGACGAAAGCTATGCTGATTGATTACCGGGGCTGCAAGTAAGGGTGTTCCTTCCTTTCAGAGAATCAAATCCCAAAGGGGCAAACACCCCTTACAATTTGAGATATCGATTTGAGATTTGATTCGATTAGTGACAAATGTTAGGACTCTGGTAATTGTTGTAGGAAAATCAAGCAAAGAGCGCACTAAAAATCAAGTCGCCAAATCCAGTTTAAAAAAACCCATCCAGTGCTTCAATTAAATGAGACTTCCAAGCCGTTTAAAAGTCTAATGGCTAAAGCTGGCACGGCCCACCCCTCTTTCATGCAAAACATCCAAAAGCCGCACACATTTCAAAGTCAACTTTTTCGAGCACTCTGAGAACTGCTTCCCCAGCCGTGTGGTGTAGGCGTGCCAAGCTCAACACACAAGTTCAGGCAGTGCACCGCGCCTGAATAGATAAGGACATCCGGGTCGAATTGCTTCAAATGTCACTGACAGTGCTTCCCCTGCAGCCAGACGGTCTTTATGTGTTTCCCGCAATCCCAGCAACTTCTGCTGGTTGTGGTCAAGCACGTCGAGAGATCTCACTGGATAGGAATTGTTCGATGCTGAGGTTGCCAAGTCTGAGAGAAGGTCGCAAACAGTTTATGCGCCCTACTGGTGCTACACGGTGAGTGCCGGAAGCCTACAGATCCGCTTTCAGCATGCCCAGTCTGTCGTAGCATCCAGCCAGAACGCATTTGTAAGGAGTACGTGAGAAGCAGCATCGCTGCCTGCAATGGCGGAGCTGGAAGCTGCATTTGCATGGGGCCCTCGATTTGTGGTGGGTGGGGACCGTTTCCTCCAGGATCCTGGCAGGCATATTCGTATTCATGCTGTGGCTGCCACCCCGAAGCTCAGCCGGCTCCAGTGGCTGCTCCAACAGCCACGGCGGCTCCTTTGCCGAGCCCCCCTCTGCAAAAGGCCACGAGAACCAGAACTTAGGGAGGTTTTGTTTCTCGCATTTCCCACTTGCAGACTTGTAGACATTGAAACTTTAAGGGTTGGACTCCAAGGCTGCATCTGAACCCGCTTCAGATCCTGCACCTCCATCACCACAGTCGGTGCCCTCAAACATTTCGGGCGGTGTCAGTGCCAACAACGCAACGGCCAGCGCTGCAAGCGCTTGCGCAGCTCACAAGGCTTGTGCCGATCTGCGCCTTGATGGCAGCTGCTGCCCCGCAGCCGACGGGACATACCTTGGATGCTGCGACTCTGTTTCGATGCTGCTGGAAGCTAGCGACGTCAACACGCATGCCAAGCTGGACATGCCAATCCCTGCGTGGTGTGCCGAGCTGGCATTGCATGTCAGGGAGATTAGTGTGCTTTGGCCTTATTCATTGGCACATTCTTGGTTTTGATTTGCTTTGAGAAAAGATTGGTTTGGGCTCTCAACTCAGCCTCCATGTACTTCCACTGGACGCGGCGGCTGTGGATGCATCAGTAAGACTACCTGCGGCGATGGTCGGCCTTTGCCTGGAAGAAGCTCGGCCATGATTCAGCCATGAACTGGCCAGTCATGTCATAAAGCAAAGGGCCAGGATCCATCAGGACTGAAGAATCGTGACCGGGCGCAAATGACGATCACACCCCGGAAGAGAGAAGAACATATAAGTTTGCTTTCCCCGAGATGTCGCATATGTGTCTCAGAGCTTTGTAGGTACTTAATGGTTTTTGGGAGGCTTGTTCGTGACATGAGGATGATCATGGCGGATCATAGTACTTGCTGCATGCCAGGTTGGCAGTCTTACTCAACTGCATGCTGTGGCTGCATTTAATGATGCGAAGTGCTCAAGTGAGATGGGGGAATGTTGGTGATGCTATAGAGCCGGCTATAGAAAAGAATGCAGCTGCAGCTTTCAGAGCCCGACGCTGAGTGGCTGTAGATGTTCTGCTTGCGTCTGCAAGGCCCACCCTGCTGTTTTGCGTGCCGGGCCCATTCATCGACCATCTTGCAGCTCTGCCAGCTCTGCCAGCTCTGCATCTCCATGTCCTCAGATTCGTATATGGTGCTGAGGCCGAGCATTCAGTGCAGGAGCTCAGATACGCGAATGGCGCTCAGCTTCCTTGCCGGAGCAGCGGAGTGTCACTAAGACCTGGAAAGTGTGGGCAGTTTGAAGCGAAGTAGCTCGCCTCATGCGAGCACCTCAGAGTCTGAGTTGACCATGTAGCCGCGGAGGGGCCCAAGAGCCATTCTTGAGAGCCTTGACAGGGCGATCTGCACAGGCTCCTGGGGACGGCACGAGCGCCACGAGGTCACAGGCATTCCATGCTCTGTGCTCTCAAGAGCAGCTTCAGAGGTTCTTGGTATGCCTCCTTTGTTTTGCAACGTCAGGAGCCGAGCAAGTTTAGGGTTTCGGGCTGTGAGATTGCCATGTTGCAGCCAGGACATACTGTAATAGTATTGTGTACATCTTTGCGTTTGCGTTTACCGTTGCCCAGGTAGCCGCCCAGCACTTTCAGACTTCCTCAAGCAGACCCTTCCTGCGGGTGCCTTCACCTCAGTTGAAATCACCTGACACAAGGTTACCTGCCTAACTTTCGATCCTGAGGCCCCGAACTTCCTCGTGCAGAGGTAGGTATCTTTAAGCCGTGTGATAGCATTTGGAGTACTGAACTTTGATGCCTCGCATTCTCCTCTTGATCACAAGGCCAGAAAAAAAAGCCGGAAAACCTGTGGCGGCCTCGACCAGTCGAACGGTGCATGCGCAAGACAAGATGTGAACTATGCACGCGGGACGTTCTGGATGATGTGGGGCTTCCTGGAATTTTGCCTGGACTTCTGGGAAGGGAGTGATGCTAAGGCCATCAAGTTGCCCAAGCACTCCAACGCAGCATGGGTTTTCTTTGGCAGGCACGTTCTGGCGGCGAGCTGTACGCATGGCCGCTTTTTTTGGTTTTCATGTGACGAGTTGTCATTATCTTTAGAGCAGGAATGCTGGAAGCCGTATCTTGCGCGGTCGTGCAGAGCATACAGTCACCTACTCAAAGTTTCTGATTGCAGTCTTTTGTTGATGCAAGCCTCACCGGTGGCTGCTTTGAGCAAGCAAGGATGTCATCCAGCACAGTGGCACCTGGTGAGCACAAGCTTCACTGTACACAAAGCCATAGCACGAGGTGCAAGACAAAACGTGCTTGAGATCCGTTTTTCGTTGGAGATTGTTTGGCAGTGCCTGGGCAAACCGAGGCACCTGGCATGTGCAGCTCAAGGGAGAGAAGGCGCGTCGCTGACGTCAGAAATGCTGCTCATTCAGGGCTTAGTTTTCTCCGTAGCAGAACCAGTAGGCACTGCATCTTTGCAATCATTTCGGTGCTTGATTTTCGCTCGATTTGGCCAGTGGGTATGTTCTTTTTTTTCTGGGCACAACAGACCGCCAAGTCTTTGCAACCTGGAGGAGCAGGGCGTCCACTGTGCAGTTTGAAAGAGTTCTGAGAGGTTTTGCTTGTCGGGTAGAGGTTTTCTCCAAGAGCTGCTAGCAAAGCAGATAACTAGGTGAGAGCTAACTTGCTAAAACGTTGCGTGCCTCATGCCGTTGAGATGGCGCCTTCTGACATGGGCTGTCGGAGCTATCGCTCGTGGAGCCTCCAAGCTGAATGTTGACATTCATAACTGGGAGCCTCCTGCGTCCAAATTCTGGTTGGATGGAGCCCGCGCTTTTCAAGCCGTGCAAGATTTCATCGTCCATTTTCCAGTGCTGAACTTCACTGTGGACTCGCTGTCACCTGAGACGTTCGATCAACTAGTACAAGAAGGCCGCCCTTTCGTTGTGCGTGGCCTCGGAAGAATTCATCCGATGCGAGAATGGGACTGTGAGTTCTTCAGGCACCATGCCAGTTTTCAAAAGGTGCAGGGCCGGCGAGAGTATGCAGATTCGGCTAGCCAGCAGCCGCAGTGGATGTCTCTTAGAGATGTTATGTCAACTGTGTCAGGTGAAGCAACTAGGCCAGACTCACTACATGCATCTCCGTATTATGTGGGCATCAAGGATGTGCAGTACCGCAGTTCCCAAGAATTGAGTCGTGATTCACACTACAGTCCCAGTTGGACACGGGAACTGTTGCAGCTTGTCCAAAATCATACCATCACACCAAGTTTTATGCGAGGTAGCAACTTACAACATCTCAGAGACACACCCGAGTTCTGGTTCGTCCAGAGTGGTGCCCGACAAGTAGGGGCAAAACCACATGTGGATGTCCATCCTCAGTCCACTTGGAGCTTGCAGCTGTGCGGACGGAAGCGATGGCGTGTCTCCACGATTGCACCACGATCAGCCCCCCATGTCATGAAGCTCTATCAAGATGGACAGATATACAATCGACCTGAGCACTTGTCATGGAATCAATTTGAGGATATTGTGCTTCATCCTGGGGATGCCTTGTTTTTTGGCCCGGCCTTCATTCATCAAACCTTGTCTGAGGAGAGTGGACCAGCTGCATCAGTCACCTGGCAATTTGAGGATCCACTGCCAGTCGTTTTCATGCGGGCTTTCATGCCACGCCTGCGCTTCACTGCTGATGCTTCCGCTCTTTGGCCACGGATACAGCATCTTGTCATGCGGGCTCAGAAGGTGGACCTGCTGAAAATTCCAACATCTTCTGACCTGCAACGCTTTCTTGACATTGATGGACATGGCAGTGTAAACGAGTCAGAACGCCAGCAGGTTGTTTCTTTGTGGAAGGCATTGGGCGTGGAAGTCAGATCAAAGGTTCCAAAGGCCCTCTGGCACGAAGCAAACCTGGGTCTGGACGCGGTCATTGAGGATCAGCATGAGCTAGCAGACCTTCCAAAGCGCTTGCGAAAGCTCGTAAGGGAATGGGAGGACTCGGCTTTACAGTTGGATGCCTCAGCAGCGTTGGAGCGACAATCTTCTCGGGTTGAACTTTAGCAGCGTTCACCCGACAAAAAGCCAGATGCAAGCAGCATTCGTTGGCGTAAGTTTCATATTTGTTGTGAGTGCTCCACGGCTAGGATCTGAATACTTCTCCCAGTATCATCAAATCCATCAACCCGCATCAACCCAACGTAATTTTTTGAAATTGGCTTTAAGAACGCTTGCTGTACTAGGTTGCGATCAGTTGAAGCCAGATGAAACTGTGGTGGTTGGGTTGGGGCTGCTGGTCAATGTGAGAAGCGCTTCGGGCTTGTGTTCGAGATGTTCGAGTTGCCAGATGAGAGCCGTCCAGGTGTGGACGCTCAAGCCAACCGAGGAGCTGCGGATGAAGGCGGGGAGACGTCAAATGTGAAGCAACCAATGTTTGTACTGTAGTGTAGCGTTGGCGTCAGGTCCCTTCCCTGAAGAGGACAGGCCGTGTTCAAGTGCGTTGTCGACAAGGTGACGTTCTTTGTGCTTTCCTTAGCTGCAGTACAGGGCAGCAATCCCATCCTTCCCTTCCTCCTGCTGAGGCATCAACACTCGGTTGTGGTGGCACAGCACACACATACCGGCCCGCTGCAAGCTCTCCTTGAGCGCCGTGGCCCTAAGCAAAAGTGCAGAAGAATCGATGTAATGGGTACTTCTTGTTTATCTTCGCGGAATTCAGCTTTTGCTCGAATGTTTGCTTGTTCCTTCACATGTTGAAACATCAAATCATATCAAATCACTGCGAGATCCTGGATCTGGTCTCTTTCCCTTGTTGACTCTGGCTTTGAGATCCGCTCCAAAGTGCACCATGCGCCGTATCAACAGCTGTGTGCTCATTACCACAAAATTCTCCCTCGCATAAGCGAAATGTAGACCAGAAAGCCAACAAGTCATGTCATACTCGTATTGGATCTTTTTCATTGCTTTCGGCTTTATTAGAATCAGGAAGCAGTCAGAATCAGAAAATTCACAGGAATAGAACGCGAGCAAATCGAAGAAACCTGAGCACTTGGTCCTTCTTTGACAAAGATGATGGCTTCTTTCAACAGCGGAAGCCTCTCTCGGATTGGTACGTTTCAGACTTTGCTTTGGCCCCCAGATGAAGGTTCAGCACCCCTTTGAATTTTCCAGTCTTCTTTTCTGCTTTGCTCCTGATTCTGATGGGACGGGTCAAGCATTTCTCCAGAAGAGGCTTCACCTGCTGGACTCGCAGATGGATAAACCAAAACCTCTTCTTGTTGAGGCAGCCAACCTTTTCTGTAAACTTCAAACGCTTGTGACAATGGCCCTTGAGCTTCAGGCCACTTTATTTTGAGGTCGTCCAGGTTTCAAGGATCCTTGTGGTAGTATCCTGCTGCATATTTTGCGCAGCAGCTTACACCGCGCGCCAAAGCAGTCATGCAAGTGCTCACCATGTGCGACGTCAGAAAGAGAGGCCGTACAGCCAGCATTCGCCACTCCGATGATGAGATGGTGAGCTTGTCGGCCGAACATTTCTTACAGCAAAACACACCTGGTCAGCAGAGTAGACAACAGAAAAGAAGGAGCGGAAACCAATCGCGTCAAATCTCCAATGCGTGCGGGCAAGCCAGCATGGAAGCCCAGCTAGTGCCCAGCTTTTCATCCCCAAGAAACCTGCTCTGGCACAGCCAACTTTAGGCGGGCTGCTGAAAAGGAGAGCGCTCATAGGAGCCTCCTGCAGAACACCATTTTTCTCCATCTAATAGATCAATCTGCCCTTTAAGTACAACATCAAAGACTCATAACATGTCTGAGTGGAAAGCGGTCAGTGTCGCCTGAGGTAGCCAGGGACATGTGCGCCCAGCTTTGTTGAGAGTTTCCGCAGTGATTGTGATCTGACGCAGGTACCTAGATGGTACACGTCCTGGCGCATGTGACATGACCAATGTCGACGGTGCCCCTCTCACAAAGCCAGTGGAGTTTGCAAGAACTTGTGACTGACCCCACGCTGCAGGCCACTATGCTGTGAAGTCCATCCAGAAAGGTGCATGGCTCTTGGCAACAGGGTCAAGCAGTGCAAAAAAGTGGTTCCTGTTGAACAGCCTGACAGCCTGAGGCGATCATTTTCACTGAGGACAGTGCTCCGCAATTGGAGCTTCCAAGGCGCAACGGTGTTTGAAGCCTGTGAGTGGAGCCAACTACGCAGCTGAGGAGTCCAGCTGCCAACTGCGAGTTGTGGGAGAGCTTGAGGCTGAGCTTATTGAATGTACATGCGAATGTCCGTGTTGCCGTCCTTCTCGAGAGCGAGGTCAAGGCGGAAGCCTCGTGGTTGTGGCTCCACGGACAAGTCTTGAACAGCGGCCCTAAATACACCTCGATGTCAAGCCTGCCAGGCCAAACGAACCATCAAGAAAGGAGAGTGGTTTTCGCTGAGCGACAGCGAAGACGACAAGGCAGCCCTGGACAGTTCGGCCCTCACCATGCCTTGGATGGCTTGCTTTTTGCAGTAAGGAGCCGCGAGGAACCAAGCGCAGACGGTGAGATCCGGGTGATGAGAGCAGAATCTCCGTCACAAAGCTGCTTTGCAATATCATCATCTCTCGCCGGTAGCTCGGTAGCTCTCAGAAACCTTTCCCTCATCGCCTTGTATCTTCTCACAGCTTGTCGAGCTGTATGTCATCACCAGTCATTGCCTGCTTTTAGATTTTAGATCTTCTGTCTTCCGATCCAAATCAGCTTGCAAGCCGTGACTTATGTATGAGTTCCATGGACTGCGATGGACAAGCGTCTGCCCCACCGGATCCGGGACGTCCGACTTCAACTGCAGGCTTCTGGCAGGCTCGCTACTGCAGACAGCACCTCGATGCAATAGCTTTTGCTTGCTCAGCCCTGGTGCACTGTTTTTCTGTTCCTGGTATGACTTGTCCTTGCCGTTTGAATCTGATTCGTGGGTGGGTTGGGTCAGACGAGGTGTCAAGGATGAGTTGTGCAAGAACTTCACAGAGTACGGCCGACTGAAGCAGCAGGCGCTCAGAAAGTTGGTGCTGCAAGAGCTGAGCACCCCTTTGCCCGCAGCCTGCACTGAACCTGCTGCAACGGCAAGCGATGCATGCCGAGATGAGGGTGTGGATGTGCCAAAAAAGAAGAAGCGCCGAAAGGACAACGGCGCACCAAACGCCGCCTTTCCAGATCAGCCCCTCGTGGAGAAGGAGTCCATGAATGAGTCAATGCGGCGTCTCTACGCACAGGGCTCTACAAGCCCAGCTGCTAAGGAAGAGCGGGCTGAAGAGTCGGCCCCTTCTCGACGGGCTCGGCAGAAAGCTGCCATGGCTGCTGCTCGCCGTGAACAGGGCCTGCCTGAACCGCGAGGGGCAGGGTTTCAACCAGAGCCACGTCCTGAAGAACGGCTCGAGGATTTGGGAGGTGTTGATGAGATTCTGCAGGATTTGCGACAGCTTGTGGTTCAACCGCTCAGCCATCCTGAAGTGTTTCAGCACCTTGGCGTCCAGCCTCCGACTGGGGTTCTTCTGTTCGGGCCACCAGGCTGTGGAAAGACCAAGATTGCCCATGCCATTGCAGGCACGACGGGGGTACCTTTCTTCAAGATAGCGGCCACGGAGATAGTGTCAGGCATGTCAGGTGAGTCAGAAGCAAAGATTAGACAACTCTTCCAGGCAGCCATTGCCGCTGCTCCAAGCCTCATTTTCTTGGATGAAGTAGATGCCATCACGCCAAAACGTGATTCGGCTGGTCGGGAGATGGAGCGTCGCATCGTGGCACAACTACTCACATGCCTGGATGAGCTTCAGAAAGCTAATGTTATAGTTCTTGGAGCAACAAACCGACCCGATGCACTTGATCCGGCGCTCCGGCGGGCAGGCCGTTTTGACAGAGAGATTTCCATGGGGATACCGGATGAGTCTGCGCGCGCCAGAATCCTCGAGAAGATGGTGGGCGGTATGCGCCTGGCAGAGGACTTGGACCTCCCGTTCTTGGCCAAGAAGACTGCCGGATTTGTTGGCGCGGATCTATCTGCCCTGACGAAAGAGGCAGCACTGGGAGCTGTTCAACGCGCATTCTGTGGTCTGGAGTCTGAGAGACAACAAAATAACGACGGACCTGCGACTGACCGGCCATACTCAGTGGAGGAGATGGCGAATCTGGCGGTTGATGCGTCTGACTTCAGCGCAGCACTGACTAGAGTCCAGCCATCTGCACGTCGCGAGGGCTTCACCACTATCCCAGATGTGAAATGGGAGGATGTGGGAGCGCTTCAGGAGGTACAAGCCGACATGGATGCCGCAGTCTGCGAGCCCATTCGACAGGCAGAGCTTTTCAGAGAGCTTGGCCAGGGCCTCGTCGTCTTGCCGCGGGAATGTGAAAGCAACTTGTAATAACCTGTCCATTGTACATGCAGCACGTGCTCCTGACGCCTTAAGCGCTGACATGCTAACTTGATAGACAACCAGGTGAATCTAAGTCGAAGCCATCCCACTTTGCCATGTTGCAGCACTTCCAGAAGATTAGCATTTTGAATCACAACAGGAGTACAACTTTGCGTAACATTTCGCAGAACCTTCCTTGCCAACACGGCAGCCGGAATGGCCAAGCCCGTTGAACCCAAGAAGGACGCCGCTGTGCGCCAGTGCAAGCCTGTTTTTTGTCGAGCTCTTACTTGTAGGATGCTTTTGCTGTGGACCTCTATCCAGCTCCGCTCATCAAGTGGCACCCATCTGTCGAGCAGCACGAGTCGCTGGTCATAGATGCCGAGAAGCGGGGTCTCATAAACAAGTCGGAGACTTGGAGTTCCTTTTTCCAGAAGGGCGATAACACATGGTGATACGATGACGCATGTTAGATCAGTTCAGGCCGAAGCCGGCTTCGCATACCAGAAGCACCTCCAACACAACAACAAGAATTGGCAGCCAGGTGCCATGCTTTCGCTTCTTTTGCTGCGCTGAAGACACGTTCGGAGCACGTTTGTGAGGATGAAGAGATTCAAGTCCGTCTGCAGATAGCGATAGCATTGGAACCACCTGTCGAACCTTCGGGCCTGGCGCTGAGCAGAAGACTTGCAAGTCGTATTTTGAGCCCCTGGCAGCTCCCGGAGGCGGGTACCGGGCCACCGCTTTCTACCAGAGCGAGGGTTTGGAGCCCCGCGAGAGGCGGAAAAGCGAGCCAAAACAGGCACACAAGTCGGCCAGGGTTCAGGTGAAGGGCCCACATGGCATTACATTAGGAAAGCTAGCAAGCAAGCTTGCTTGACCAGACAATGGCGGGGCCAGTCTTGAAGTTTGCCAGCTATGGGTTTGATCCGCTGCTTCCACCACCCCCAACAAGAATGCGAGCGCCGGCATCATTGCATAAGATCGTTTCCTTTTTGTACACGAGTAGCCGTCTCCTTCGAGTGGGCATGTAGGCAGGATGGAAAGGGCGCGAGGTAGACAGCTCGTCCTGCAGGACCTGACCACACGACCTACTGCTAGTTCCACAGCTTCCATGCATGTCAAACCTTTGGTTGAAAAGCTCAAGTCTGACACACTGTTCCCCACGGACGCCCTGGATCATGGAAACAGCCTTGGGAAATAACGACCAATTGCCTGACGACTTGGGAGCAGAGCATTCCAAAGTATGGACCTACTAGTAGCACGCAGAGCACAAAATTGTTTCCTAAGCAGCACCTGCTTGTGGGCGTCATTCTGGTAAGCTGGACCAAAACGCATGAGGCTACTCGCTTTCACCTTCAATGCGCAGCATCATCTGCATGGACCTAGCCTAAGTTCGGCTGCTCCACAGCTTCTCCGTGACGGCAATGCCATTTGGCACCGTGCAAGCTACTCAAAAACGACCGCGTGCCGTAGCACTAAGTGGGTCAAGCCCATTTGTGATGGAAAGATGCTGAGAGACCTCATCAATGTTCATCAATCAGGGAGCAGCAAACCGACCAAACCATAACCAAAACAAGGTCAAGCCAGGAACCCAACAACAATCCGGAGCACAATCAAGACCGAATGGGTTGCAGCCGAAAGGCTGAGAACGTTAGCCCGATGCGATCTCGTCAGCCTCACACATGCCCCTCCCGCAGCCGGCCCACCTTATTCCTACTGCCATACCCCCTGAATACTCGCGCGCCCTTCTACTGACTCTTACTGCGTCGACCTGCGCGCCCCCTCCGGACCCCCTCCGTCGCCCAATCCTCACACTCCCGCCGTGCACTTCTCCGCAAAAAAACGGGATCTCTCCGGAAGATCCCCATAGACCCAGCATCAAGAGCGTCAGCCGGTGCCTCCTCCAAAATGCCCTACCCCATCCCGGAGCATATTTTGGGGACTGCTTGCCAGGACGGGTTGAAGAAGGCCCGAAGTTTAAGAATGCCCAAAGACTACGCTGTAGGGGTACGCTGGGGTAAGCTAGGGGTGCGGTTGTGAAGGGGGCGGTCAGGGGGGCGGTGAAGGGGTGCTCTACGGGTACGCTCGGGGTACTATTACTAGCAGGAGCCTTTTGGGGTGGCAAGCACCGTGCAAAATGCGCTCCGGGTGATGCTCATGATAGCACAGCCCCCTTCACCGCCCCCTTCACGACCGCACCCCTAGCGTACCCCTAGCGGCCCGCCCTGCTAGCACCTCACGACCGCACCGCTAGCGTACTAGTGTACCTACCGTATCGCGGCCCCTGCTATCACCGCCCCCTTAACCGCCCACCGCCCCCTTCACGACCGCACCCCTAGCATACTTGTAGTGTATCTCCAGTGTACCCCCAGTGTACCTACCGTATTGCGGCCCCCCCTGCTACCCTAGCGAACCCCTAGCATCCCCTAGCATACCCCTAGCGTACCCCTTGCGTACCCCTAGCGCACCCCTAGCTTACCCCTAGCGTACCCCTGGCGTACCCCTAGCGTACCTACCGTATCGCGCCCCCCCCCCTTGGACCTAATTGTGAACCCAACATCCGAGACTTTTTGGGAATAACCCCCGGACCTCAGATGAAGGTGAAAGCTGCATTAGCTTCGGCATGCTGCCGGCACGCAAGAGGGACGTTGCAAAGCATTTGAAGGCTTTTGGAAAGCTGCATCCAATCGCAGCCTGAAGCAATTTAGGCTGAGTTGACATGCACTTGCACTGGACTGAGCGCAGAAAAATACACACGGACCAGGCCAAAGATGAGCAATGCTGAGCAACTTGTGCAACTTGACTTGAGACATTGTCCCGAAACCTGGAATTCAGATGACTTCTCCAGCCTGAACCGTGAAAGGAGTGGTAAGCTTTAGAGTGTGACGTGCATTTTGAGCGAAGCGCTTCGGCTGAATACAGATCAAAGAAGAATCCAGCTTGAAAGCATGTCTTCTCTCCATCCATCAACGCAATCTTGAAGAGAGGTGCCTGCAATCTCCATGGATGCGGGAATCGAACATTTTCCATGGTCCAAAACTGAATAGGATGAGCAGCAGGATTTATTTGCATGGACTGCAAAGTTCCTGAGTAGGCAGGCAGCTGCATCCCGATTCTGCACGAGAAGCGCGAGAAATCTTGTTGTGAGTGCATACGAGGCCATCTTCTGAGCAGGCCAGCAAATGACAGAAGGAAGATATCACTTGCCTGCCTTATTGATGCAACTCGTCAGGACTTCTTCCTGCCATGCGCATCCTGCTGCGATTGCATACAAAATCCCATCCTTTGGAGAAGCAGGAATGATGCATTCATGTAGCACAAAAATTGTAGCTTGGCGAAGACGCAAGGACCATGGAATACAGAGCCGTCTCAGGAAGACCTCTTTGGCTTATTGGATATTCGCGGGAAACGCTCTGCCAGCACCTTCGTTGGTGGCTGTCTGTCCATCCTCGTTGGTCCACACCCACATGTTGCTCAACATTCCCCAAGCATGAGTTGCCTGGACGTCTCGGAAGCCTCGAAAGGCCAGCTTTGACCACTGGCTCGTGTGCCTCTTTGCACGCTGAAATGGCTCGTGCTCTGGTCTCCCAAGCCATCAGCAGCATTAGGAAGAGGCATAGCCGAAAGGAGCAATCCACCATACCTTCCTCGCGCTTCTTTTTTGACCTCTACCGCCATGCTTTACCTGGAGCTCTTGGTTTCCAACCTTTTTGATGAAGTGCTCTGTTTCTGAGAAGACGGCCCCCGTCGCTTGTCCCTTGCCGCAAGTCCTTTTCAGGACGACGATGCCACTTCTTGATTTTTCCATCTTGGTTCTCCTTGTCCTGCTCCACATCCTTTGCTGGATGCCAAGGCGTCCTGCTCCATCTTGAGTTGGTTGCCCTTTGGCTCCGGTTTTGACTTGGCTTATACAGGCTCTTCATACTGCTCTCACATGCTTGTTCCAACCATGCCTTATAGGAGTCCTGTCTTTCTTTGTTCCGCGTACCAGTGGCCTTGGCCAAAATCTGTCCTACCGCTTTTTGAGGTTCCTGGAAGACCGTTTGAGTGGCCTTAATGTCAGTTGGTGCTTTTTTGGTGACTGCTTCATGCTTGCTGGTTGGTTGCTCCAGGAGGGGGAACATCTCCATGACTTCCTCCAGTTGAGTTTACTGCGCCATGTTTGAACACAAGACAAATGGGAACAGAGAAGTGTCTGCATGTGTTCTGAGTCTTGTGTGTCCATTGTCTCCTGTGTCCTGTTCTGTGTCCTCTATGTATGTCCCGTCTCTATGGCAAGTTGTGGAGTTTAACAAAGCACAAATGCTGCAACCTGATGCGTTTATGCTTGATTATGCTTGGTTGAGGGTGCAACCTTTGCAAAGCAAACTTCGCAACGTGGTAGACTCATTGAACTCGTCCTGCTCAGGGCCATGGCATCAAGCCTGGGTGCATATACATCGTCATGCATTTCAGCTAGGTGATTGAGTAGAGAACCACTGTGCTCTGAGATCCATTGCCCGCAAAAAACACAAAAAATCCGAAACACATCTCTATCTGCTATGTGGGGAAGTTGAAGCCACTCCTTAGTCCCCACTTTGAAGTCAGCCTCAACCTTGTGCGCAACAGGAACCTTGGCGCACCCTGCAGCGGACTGCCAAACAGGAGCTTCGTCTTGGCTTTCTGTGGAACACCATGCAATAATGCATTGGCCTCCAGTCCCCTCTGTCAGTCTGAGAGCTTGAGGCAAGAACTTTATCACACAATTTGTGGATGTGCCATCTTAGCTCATGCAAATGGCCAGATCTCCAATCACCGCTGGCAGGCATACCATCCCGAAAGCATATGTGCGCGTCAACTCTCTTGTACGCTTGCTGGTCCGTCCTTTATGCCTGTGGCAAGGCAATCTGAGGCTTCTTGTTGCTTCATCGCTAGGGCCTGCCACGAACTGAATCTACTGTAAATACTGATGAATTTGAC